CCGAAAAACACCTCGCATTCCAACCATCCACCCACCCCACCCGCCCACCACCACCGCCCTCGCCCACCGTACACGCCCCCTACTCCGTATCCCACCACCGCACCCCCCCTCCCCCTCCCTCCCCTTTCCCGGGCCCAGGTGGCGGACCCGACGGAACTGCCTCCTGCGACCGTTGCCGCGCTGGCGCGTGCGCCCGCTTGGCGCGTGCCGCCGAGCCCAGTCGGCATGAGGCGGACAAGCCGGTGCACCGAGGCACACTCCCCCCCATCACACCATGCCCATGATCTTATGCATGCATGAGGAGCGCTGCGGTGTGTACGTGTGTGTGTGTGTGTTGGTTTGTTTGTGCGAGGGCTGGGCAGGGCAGGGCGGGGCGGCGGCGAGCGGCGAGCGGCGTCGGCGAGATCGGCGACGAAGAGAGGCGATGGTGACGTACACGGCGGCAGTGTTCACGGCAGCAGCGCCGGTGGCGGCCCCGCGCAGCGGCGGCGGCGCCCTGAGTGAGGCTGACTGCCCTGCACAGCCTGCTGGGAACGCTCCCGACGAGCGGCGCGCCACACGGGCCCGCCGCGGGCGACGCGGGCGGCGAGCCGACACGCGTGTCGCAGGCGTAGACAGCACTGGCGAAGCGAGGCGGCCGGCGCCGGCCCGGAGGCGGTTGCAGTAAGAGCAGCGAAGCAAAAGTCACTGTCCAAGGCGTATTGAGCGGGCTGCCATCGAGCAGCGCGCCATGCGGGCCTGCCGCCGGCGACGAGATTGGAGAGCCGACAGGCATCGAAGAGGTAGGTACTGAGGAGGGCCATCGCGGGGAGGCGGTCTGCGCCGGCCCTGCAGGCCGTCACAGAGAGCCTGGCGAGGCTGTACAGAATGCCGAGAGCATACTGAGCAGGCTGCCGTCGAGCGACGAGCCATGCTCGTCGCAGGCGATGAGGTCGAGGAGCCGATCGGAGCGTCGCAGAGGCTGCCGACCACTGGCGTTCGCCCTCGGGCCCAGGGGTGGAAGGCATCGAAGAGGTAGCAGACGTCGCAGAGCATCCGGCAGGCACGCAGCGACCCAATCTTTTGCTCACCGCACGCGACGGCCGTGCGAGCCGTCGGTCGGTCGGTGGTGATGGTCGACGTCGGCGCGCGCCGACCAACGCGGCTGCGGTGGGCGTCATGTGGCGGGCGTGGGACTAGACATTGTGCGACTTTCGGACGTCCCTCCGCCTAGAGTAACTATATAAGGTAAGGTAAGGTAAGGTAAACTTCTCCACACACACGAGGTGGTTGGGCAAGGGGGGGCGACCCTCGCGTCTCCACGCTAGACGACAGGAGCTCTAACTGGTAACTCTTGTAGTTTGTTTGTTCTTTGTACTGTACTTTTAGCTTACTGGGAGAAAGGGCGAGATCTCTCTCTCTCTCTCTTTGTTTAGGATCCTCTACATGTGTACATCACGGGCCGCACCTCAAGTGTATCAACACCGACAGACGAAAGACGGACGTACTGACGTAAGTGTGCACTAACGTATGCCGACACTGTAGATTCTCAAGAAATGGGCATCTCAGACACCGCGCAGATGTCACACATGGCATGACTCAACGGGACATGGCTTGGGGCATGGGATTTACACGCTCTCCGACATGAACTAACTACTCGCGGTGTACGCGCGCGCCGAGCAGAGCCGGCGCTATCCCGCTGACGGCGGCAAACGCGCATTGGCGGCAAGCGCGCCGCGGCGCGCGCGCCGATAGTTGACAAAAGTAGTCATGACAACCGCGCAAGCCAGCGAGCTGGCAGGGCGATCGTCTCCGCGCCGCAGGCTTGCGCGGGTGCACGCCGGGGCGGGGGCGGCCGCGTTGCTGGCCCGGCCGCCGAAAAAGAACCCTCCACAGCGCGCGGAGATCATCAACACGGGCTGGCATCGCACGCCAAGTATGGAACGTGGCAGCTTGACGTGGGCGAGGGCCCGGGCGAGGAAGGCCTCGCCCAGATCCACGTGGTGCATGTGCATGGCAGGAGGTTTATGACGCCAGAGCAGCGAGCGGCGTGCTGGCCTGTCCCGCGTGGCGGCGGGATCAAGAGAGTTTTTCCGGGACTTGATGATTGTGCGAGCGAGCCAAACGAATCCCACTCTGCCGCCCACAAGTGTGATACTCACACAGTTCGAAATCGGCGCGGCTGAACTCTCTGTGTAGTGGATCCGCGACCACAGTGTTGGCAGACGAGACAGTGACATGCTTGCCGGCTCGGCTTGCTTGGTCCTTGGACCTCGTGTCGGGCTCCCAATAAGTGCATCACTGTGCGTGCGGTGACGTATGGTCCTAGGAAGCTACGGCTTCACTATATAACGGTAGTACTAACGATCGGAAGGGGCGATCGGAAGGGGAATACAGTACTTGTATCAGAGCCCTCGAGATATAGACGGAGACACACTGGCAGCATCGTTGCAGCCAGACGCCGTTTGAAGATAAGTAAGGCCGCCTTCGCTTGAGCCACCCACGCCACACCGCACACGCCTCTCCGCGCTCTAGTCCGCGCTGCTCTCTCCGCTGCCCAACCTGAGTAACTCTTCCACGAAAGCGGCTTCTGGGATCCCCGGGAAGCGCGCGCGGCGTTGGTTCGCGGCGGCTAATAATGGAAAATAATTCATCAGCTAAGGAGCTGGTGACGTGACGCTAATGTGCATGAGCGGAAAGTTGCCTCCCGACTTGACCGCTATCATGGATCGCATAATCCCGGACTCATGGGAAGAGGACACACAAAGAGGACGACGACTTATTCTGCACACGCGCAGCTCCGGCTTGAAAGACTCTCCGGTAACCTAGCATTCGTTTACGGCGACCGAAATACAAGTAAAGCAGGAGCAAGGGGTAGCGGGGCAGCCAGCGCGATGGCTCGCCCTCTAAAGAAAGAGCGACCCGGGGGATGCCCCGCCCGCGCGCCTGACCCAGGCGCGAGAAACGAATCTGCGAGGCGAGGCCGCTCATGCGGCCCGATGGGGAGGAACGGGCGGACTGCGGGAATCGGCCTCTTACACCGCCCTTCCTTGCAGCGAGCCCCCTCCAGCCCACCCGCGCTAGGTCTCGGGTTGACGCATGGGTCACTCCCGCGAACCCGAGAACTACCCTGGTACTCGAGTAGCCGGGGCAGTCGAGAAGGGGCACCTGACGGTCGGCCGTCAGAAAACACGCCTGCGTGCTGCGTGCATCTACAATGCTAGCCCGACGCTCCCTCCTCTCGCCTTTTCGGCGCTTGTGCACAACGCTCGCCTCCGAGCCCGTCGCCTCCAGCTCCACCTCTGCGATTCAGCGGCACGGCGCCGGCGATAAGGTAGTGAATCTCAACGTAGGCGGTAAATCCTTCATCACCCTGCGATCGACACTTGCCGAGAGCCCAACGCTGCGCGAGTACGTCGAGCGCGCCGAGGCAAACTTGGAATTTTCAAAGGATGGCGCTACGTTCATCGACCGCGATCCGACGCATTTCCCCATCATACTTGCACACATGCGCAACAAGTGCGAGGGGCTCGGGCTTAGCCTGACCTTGGGCGCCACCCGGCACAAGACGACGGTTTCACTACCAAAGGATCATGCAACGCTTGGCGAGCTGCTCCTGGAGGCCAAGCACTACCAGCTGCCAGAGCTTGAGAAGCGCATCTGCAAGAGATACTTTGTCACGTCGCTGATTTCCCAACTCGGCGTCGGCAACCCTTTCGAGGCATTCGCGCGCGGGGCGACCGCTCTTCGTGGCGTGCTCTTGGCCGTCGTGGGTGGAAGCGGCATTGCCGTAAGCATGACAGATGACTCGGGGAGCCGGAGCAGCAGCAGCGACGACGTACTCTCGGCGGTGAAGGAACGCGCGCAGGCAGCAGTTGATCGCTTTGTGCGCGGCGGCGGAGATGGGGCGGAAGGTGGAGGAGAGCGGAGATGAGATCATGGTCGGGCCATGTCTCCACAAGATCTTGTATGTGAGACAAAAGCCGATGGTATGAAAATTTTTCACTGGTCTCGAAAAAGGTGTGCGCGACCCCGCGACACCGACATAATACATGACAAACGCGTAACGTATGTACACATCGTCGATCGATCTCTCCGGACCCCAGCTCGTCTCGACACTCGAGAGTCGAGTCTGACCCGTCTCTCTCACGACACGTAAGAGTACAGACACGCTTGCGCTCGGTGTACGTGGAACTCAATCTCAAACGTACTGGCTCGCCGTGGCCCCGTCGTCCGCCGGGCCGCTGCTGGTCAGCTCGATGCTGCCCCTGTCGCCGCTGGCAGCGGAGGCGGGCGGGGGCGCGCGGGAGAGGGCGGCGTCGGCGGCGGCTGAGCCCGCGATGGCGAGGAAGACCGACTCGAGCGAGGGCTGCGTCGCCGAGTAGTCCAGCACGCCCAGGGCGCTCTTGGCCCCCTCCATCTGCTCGAAGATGTCGTGCAGCAGCACGCCTGGCTCGCAGCGGGAGGACGGGGCGTGAGGCGCCGCGCCACTCCGTGGGTACGACGTGGAAGGCTGAGGACAGCTCGTTCTCAGACGGTCTACTCTCTGCTCCTCTCGGCTCGTCTCGGCGCGCCGCTCGGCAGCTCATACTTGGACCTGCCCGCCACGTGCTCGATCAGCCTCGCGCCGGGGAAGAGGCGGCACACGCCCTCGTGCGCCTCCTCGCCGCCTCCACCTCTGCCTCCTCCGCCGCCTCCGCCTCCGCCGCCCGCCGCCTCGCCCCCCACGCGCAGCTCGAGCGTGTACCCTCCGCCGTACTTCGACTTGAGGTGCTGCTGGCCGCCGAGGCAGCGCAGCCGGCCTGCGCCGTGGAGGAGGGCGGTCTCTTCCGGGCGCACTCAGAGGCGTGGAGCGGACGGCGTTCGACAACTGAGCACAGCTGACCACGTCGTCTCGAGTGCTAGTTTGACCGAAGAGCACGTGTTCAAGCATCTGCCCCAGCCGGCCGGCCGCCATCACCCCGACGCGCGAGCAGAGCGCCTCGCACTCCGCCATCGAGTGCGTCGTGAGCACGAGCGAGCGGCGGGACCTACCGCCGTCACACCGGGCCCGGGGCTGAGAACGCCTCTTGTGGACTCGGCCCAGCACGAGCGAGCGGCATCACCGCTCCGTGGCGATGACGTCCCACATGTGTCGCCTGCTCTGCGGGTCCATCCCGCTCGAGGGCTCGTCGAGGAAGCAGACGGACGGGTCGCCCACCAACGCGATGGCGAGCGAGAGCTTGCGCTTGTTGCCGCCCGAGTAGGCGCCGCACACTCGGTCCGCAAACGGCGTCAGCGTCACCTGCTCGATCAGCGACTGCACGAGGCCGGGGAGGGCAGCCTCGTCCAGGTTCTTGAGGCGCGCGAACATGGTGAGCAGCTCGCGACCCGTCATGCGCTCGAGGAGCGGGTCCTCCTGCGGGCCACAGGAGGAGGTGTCTAGGAGGTGTCTAGGAAGTGTCCAGGAAGTGTCTCGAGGAGCGGGTCCTCCTGCGGGCCACAGGAGGAGGTGTCTAGGAAGTGTCCAGGAAGTGTCCAGGAAGTGTCTCGAGGAGCGGGTCCTCCTGCGGGCCGCAGTAGGAGGTGTCTACGAGGTGTCTAGGAAGTGTCCAGGAAGTGTCTCGAGGAGCGGGTCCTCCTGCGGGCCACAGGAGGAGGTGTCTAGGAGGTGTCTAGGAAGTGTCCAGGAAGTGTCTCGAGGAGCGGGCTCTCCTGCGGGCAGTAGCCGAGCTGCTCCCGCACGCGCGGCAGCTGCGTCGCGATGCTGAAGCCGCCCACCCACGCGCCACCCCTCGTGGGCGGGAACTCGCCCGTTAGCATTCCGATCGAGGTCGTCTTGCCGGCGCCGTTGACGCCGAGCAGACCGAAGCACTCGCCGTCGAGGATGCGCAAGGACAGGTCCGCGACCGCAACCTTGGGCGGCGCCCTGCCCCGCGCCGCGTACACCTTTTGGAGCCGGTGTGCCACTGCACGCGCGCCGCCCCGCACGCCTCCGCCGCCGCCTTCAACAAGCTCGCCGTGATTAACGATTCATTTACTATTATTCATTTACTATAATTAACGATTCATTGCGCCGCCGCCTTCCACGAGATCGCGCACGGCGTCGGCCTCCGCCTGCACGTCTTATTTTCTTTTCTAATGATGAAGCGCTTGATAATAATTAATAAAAAAAGCGTCGGCCTCCGCCTGCACGTCCGCCTCGACGCAGCAAGCGCCCTCGGAGCGCAGCGCGCGCAGCGCCGCCTCCTCCGCCGTCCCACCCCGCCGTCGTGCACGCCGCTCGTACAGCACGCAGCCGAGGCCGGCCAGCAGCAGCAGCAGCAGCCCGAGGACGAGCAAGACGTAGTCGAGCGGCGTCGCCTCCGCCACCACACCTTCCCCGCCGGCGGGCGGCGCGTCGCCCTCGTTGTAGTTGAGCGCCGACTGCACCTCTCTCTCCGTGGTTCCGGCTGCGGCGACGGCGGTGGCGCCGAGGGCGAGCAGGAGCAGGGCGAGGGCGGAGGCGAGGCCGCAGCCGAGCCTGCTGCGGAAGGAGCAGGAGAGAGTCTCTCCGCCGAGCACTGCTGCCGCGGCGGCGAGGAGGGCGGAGCGGAAGAGGTAGGAGTACTCCGCGCCGAGGACGAGGGAGAAGAAGAGAAGCGCCTCGAGTGGGAGGAGGTAGAGCGCGCGCGACACCTCCTCGCTGCCGAAAGGGTCGTGCGGCTGCCCGCCGAGCTCCGCGAAGTACCACTCTTGCGTGAGAGCGAGCAGGGCTTGCCCGAAGTTGAAGGGCGGGAAGAGGCGGTAGAAGTGGACCAGCGCGCGGTCGGCGTCGACGGTGTTGGGCAGCACCTGCGGTCCACGTGAGGACGAGTCGTCGCCCTGCCCTCGGCGGTGCCGGCGGTGCCGGGCCGCACCTGCATGATCTGGTGTGCGAGGACCATCACGAAGCCCGTCGTCAAGTTGAAGACGAGGACGCCGATCTGCGCAGTCGAGTGCGAGAGGAAGAGGTGCGAGTAGCAGTACGCGAGCGGGATCGCCGCGAGGCCATACAACCACAGCACGAGCGCCGTCGCGCCCGCCTGGGCCGCATTGCCGACGAAGCCGGGCTCGCCGTAGAGGCCGAAGACGGCCATCACTCCGAGCGAGACGAGGGAGGACATGCCTGCGTCCCAGAGGTAGTGGGCGAGCCAGTAGACGACGGGGTTGGTGCCCGAGACGAGCTGCAGGTGCTTCGCCTTGGAGTTTCGCTCCTTGACAATGAGGGGCGCGACGGCGGCGGGCGCGTACGAGAGCGGGATGAGCACGAAGATGCCGGCGAGGAAGGCGAGCACCACTTGCACCTGCCGAGAGGGCCCGAGATGGCCCGAGATGGCCCGAGATGAGCCGAGAGGACCCGAGATTGCCCGAGAGGACCCGAGGGAGGCGAGCACCGCCTGAACCTGCGCCGACTCCAGCTGAGAATCACTAAGGGGCTCTCTTACATCTGAGCCGCCGGCCTGCGCCGACTGCGCCGCCGTGAGCGGCAGGGGATGGTTGTGCACCCGGTAGTAGGTGTCGGCTGAGGAGGAGGAGGGAGCGCCGGCGGAGGAGGAGGGAGCGCCGGAAAAGGCGGCGGAGGCGGTCTCGTTGTGGATTAACCGCCACGCCGCGGCGGAAACCTCCCCGAGCATCGCCGCGTTGGCGTGCGGCGACGACGCGTTGAACAGCACCGTCATCTCCGCCGCGACGCACGCCTCGATGCGGAGGGAGTCGGGAGGCGGCGCGCCGCTCGCCGAGCCCACGTCCACGTCGGGCAACCTCGACCACTCTGCAGGGTCGCCGAGACCGTACGCCGGCGCGGCGACAGAGATGCCGCTCTCGGAGAGCGTCACGCGCCCTGCCGACACCGCGACGGGCCCCGCGCCGTCGCTGGCGAAGGTGAGGTTGGGGGCGGAGATGGCGACGGCGGCGCGGGAGACGCGGATCTCGCCCAGCCGCAGGGTTGGCGAGGTGAGGGTGAGGGTCTCCTCCCCGAGAGGCACGGAGAGGGCGAGGTCGGACGCGTTGAGCAGGGCGGAGATGTCGATCTCGACGCCCTCGAGGGCGGAGATCGACGCCTCGCCCCCGGCGTGCACGTCGCGCAGGGCGGGCGCCACGCCGCTGAGCTCGAGGACTGCCCGCTGCTCGAGGGGGAGAGCGCCGAGCAAGCCGAGCAGCGCACCGGTGTCGAGCGGGAGGAGGCTGCCCGCTAGCGCGCCAACCTGCTCGCCGAGGAGGCCGATGCCTTGCTCGAACGCAAAGCTCCTTGCCAGCTGGCCGTTGACGGTCAGCGGGCAGGAGGGCGGCGCCGGCGGGGCGCCGACCGACCAGGAGGGGTTGGTGTACGAGGCGCCGGAGGCGGAGGCGGGCGGTGGGGCGGCGGGGTCGGCGGAGGGAGGAGCGAGCTGGCGGCAGAGCGCCTCGATGGTGCCCTCGAGGTATGCCGTCTCGCGCGTGCCGCCGCCTCCTCCTCCTCCGCCCGCCTCCAGCGAGAATGCGGCCTCGATCGCGGCCGCAAGCGCCTCCGTCGCGCTCAGCGGAGCGTCCCTCGAGCTGGACGCGACGGCGTCAACGGCGGCGAGGGCGGCGGCGAGGGCTGCCGGGTCGACACGGCTCGTGAGGTTGCCGAGTAGCTGTCCGGTGAGGATGCCGCCCAGCCCGCCGCCCGCTGCGAGGCCGCCCAAGCTGTCGAGCAGCTGCTGCGCGTCCTGCTCGTCCACCTCGCCGTCGCCATTGAGGTCGGCGACGCTCGAGTTGCCTCCGCCGAGGGTGAGGTTGGCCGCCGCCGCGAGAGCAGCGAGCTGCTGCGTGACGTCGGCCGGAAGGCTCAGATTCCCCGCGCCGCCCGGGGGCGACGCGCCGCTGCACCGGAGCAGCCCGAGGGCGACCGCAGCTCGCAATCGTCGCCCGCCGCCAGGGAGAGTCTCGCCGAGTTCCTCGGCGGAGACGTTGAGCCGGAGGGAGTCCGGGAGGGCGAGGGCGCCCACGCGGACGCACCTCTCGTGCTGACTGTACGTCTCGAGCATGTGCCGCGAGAGAGCCGCCGAATCGCCTGCCGGGACATGTCGCGGACATGTCGCGGACATGTCGCGGACACGTGCAGAGCGTGTGCCGCGAGAGGGCGCGGAGAGAGGCGCCTTGCACGCGGTCGAGAGAGAGCACGCTCCGCTCCGCGAGGGCGGCGACGAGCGGGTGCGAGGCGGGAGGCGAGTGCAGGAACTGGGTGGAGTCCGGCCCATCGCCGCGCGTGTAGAGCGAGGCGTCGAGCAGTATCCTAGACACTTCCGAGACACTCTCCGAGACGCTCTTCTAGGCGCGCGGAGAGGTAGGCGTCGAGCCGTCTCCTCGGCCCGACGCGCGGGTCGGGGAGGAGGAGGACGAGCATGGTGAGCGCGACGAGCAGTACCTGAGCTCGCGGGCAGCGGCAGCTGAGGAAGGGCCCCGCGGCGGGCAGGAGGGAGTCGACGTGTCTGCGACGTGTCTGCGACGTGTCTGCGACGTGTCTAGGAAGAAGCACCGGCAGCGCGTGCTGCAGGAAGAGTCCCTTGCGGTCGCGCTTGGCGCAGACTGCACGCTTCTGGAGCAGCACGCACAACTGCTTGCACGGCGAGGCGGCGCCGCTGCGGCGTGCGCCCACGGAGGCGGAGGAAGACCTCCTCCATCGAGGTGAGCGAGACGCCTATTCACAGCAGCAGGGTGTGAAGAGAGGCGGAGGAAGACCTCCTCCATCGAGGTGAGCGAGACGCCTATTCACAGCAGCAGGGTGTGAAGAGAGGCGGAGGAAGACCTCCTCCATCGAGGTGAGCGAGACGCCTATTCACAGCAGCAGGGTGTGAAGAGAGGCGGAGGAAGACCTCCTCCATCGAGGTGAGCGAGACGCCTATTCACAGCAGCAGGGTGTGAAGAGAGGCGGAGGAAGACCTCCTCCATCGAGGCGAGCGAGACGCCTATTCACAGCAGCAGGGTGTGAAGAGAGGCGGAGGAAGACCTCCTCCATCGAGGTGAGCGAGACGCCTATTCACAGCAGCAGGGTGTGAAGAGAGGCGGAGGAAGACCTCCTCCATCGAGGTGAGCGAGACGCCTATTCATAGCAGCAGGGTGTGAAGAGAGGCGGAGGAAGACCTCCTCCATCGAGGCGAGCGAGACGCCGAAGCTCTGCAGGCCGAGCTGCGCCTGGGCCGCCGCGAGGTGGCGCAGGAGCGGGCCGAACGAGGCGGTGGAGGCGAACGGGAGGCGGAACGAGAGCTCGCCCGCGTGCTGCGAGAGGAGCTCGGCCTCGGGGACGAAGGAGCGGACGGCGGCGCCGACGGCGGTGGCGGAGCAGCTGCCCGGGCCTGTGCTGAGTGTGAGGGTGTACCCGAGGCCGAAGCGGCTCTTGAGGAAGAGCGAGGAGCCGGCACAGCGCAGCCGCCTAATTAATGACCAATTCATTCTTCATTCTTCATTATGAAGTAAAGAGCGAGGAGCCGGCACAGCGCAGCCGCCTAATTAATGACCAATTCATTCTTCATTCTTCATTATGAAGTAAAGAGCGAGGAGCCGGCACAGCGCAGCCGCCTAATTAATGACCAATTCATTCTTCATTCTTCATTATGAAGTAAAGAGCGAGGAGCCGGCACAGCGCAGCCGCCTAATTAATGACCAATTCATTCTTCATTCTTCATTATGAAGTAAGGAGCGAGGAGCCGGCACAGCGCAGCCGCCTAATTAATGACCAATTCATTCTTCATTCTTCATTATGAAGTAAGGAGCGAGGAGCCGGCACAGCGCAGCCGCCTAATTAATGACCAATTCATTCTTCATTCTTCATTATGAAGTAAAGAGCGAGGAGCCGGCACAGCGCAGCCGCCTAATTAATGACCAATTCATTCTTCATTCTTCATTATGAAGTAAGGAGCGAGGAGCCGGCACAGCGCAGCCGCCCTGTCGAGAGGACGGCGATGCGGTCGGCGAGCAAGTCGGCCTCGTCCATGTAGTGCGTCGTGAGCACGAGGACCTATTCACAGCAGCAGGGTGTGAAGAGAGCGCTGTTCACGCCTCGTCCATGTAGTGCGTCGTGAGCACGAGGACCTATTCACAGCAGCAGGGTGTGAAGAGAGCGCTGTTCACGCCTCGTCCATGTAGTGCGTCGTGAGCACGAGGACCTATTCACAGCAGCAGGGTGTGAAGAGAGCGCTGTTCACGCCTCGTCCATGTAGTGCGTCGTGAGCACGAGGACCTATTCACAGCAGCAGGGTGTGAAGAGAGCGCTGTTCACGCCTCGTCCATGTAGTGCGTCGTGAGCACGAGGACCTATTCACAGCAGCAGGGTGTGAAGAGAGCGCTGTTCACGCCTCGTCCATGTAGTGCGTCGTGAGCACGAGGACCTATTCACAGCAGCAGGGTGTGAAGAGAGCGCTGTTCACGCCTCGTCCATGTAGTGCGTCGTGAGCACGAGGACCTATTCACAGCAGCAGGGTGTGAAGAGAGCGCTGTTCACGCCTCGTCCATGTAGTGCGTCGTGAGCACGAGGACCTATTCACAGCAGCAGGGTGTGAAGAGAGCGCTGTTCACGCCTCGTCCATGTAGTGCGTCGTGAGCACGAGGACCTATTCACAGCAGCAGGGTGTGAAGAGAGCGCTGTTCACGCCTCGTCCATGTAGTGCGTCGTGAGCACGAGGACCTATTCACAGCAGCAGGGTGTGAAGAGAGCGCTGTCCACGCCTCGTCCATGTAGTGCGTCGTGAGCACGAGGACCTATTCACAGCAGCAGGGTGTGAAGAGAGCGCTGTCCACGCCTCGTCCATGTAGTGCGTCGTGAGCACGAGGACCTATTCACAGCAGCAGGGTGTGAAGAGAGCGCTGTTCACGCCTCGTCCATGTGGTGCGTCGTGAGCACGAGGACCTATTCACAGCAGCAGGGTGTGAAGAGAGCGCTGTTCACGCCTCGTCCATGTGGTGCGTCGTGAGCACGAGGACCTATTCACAGCAGCAGGGTGTGAAGAGAGCGCTGTTCACGCCTCGTCCATGTAGTGCGTCGTGAGCACGAGGACCTATTCACAGCAGCAGGGTGTGAAGAGAGCGCTGTTCACGCCTCGTCCATGTAGTGCGTCGTGAGCACGAGGACCCGGCCGGGCGCCGAGCGCTTCAGCAGTGACCAGAGGGACCGGCGGGAGGCCGGGTCCATGCCCGAGGTGGGCTCGTCAAGCAGCACGCAGCGGGAGCCGCCCACGAGCGAGCAGCCCACCGACAGCTTGCGCCTCATCCCGCCCGACAGCGCGTGCGACCGCGTGTGCTCCTTGTCCGCTAGACCGACCTTGGCCACCATGGCCGCCGACGCGGTAGCGAGCTCGCCTCGGGGCACGCCCTTGAGGGCCGCGTAGTGCTGCATGTGCTCGGAGACGGTCAGGCTGCGCCAGAGGACGTCATGCTGCGGGCAGATGCCCATCAGCGTGTAGACGCGCCGCGCGCAGCGGCAGATCGAGAGACCAAACACGTAGCAGTCCCCTCGCGTCGGCGCGTACAGGCCGGTGAGCACGGACAGCGTCGACCTGTTCACAGCAGCAGGTGTGAAGAGACGCCGTTCACACCCAAACCGGTGAGCACGGACAGCGTCGACCTGTTCACAGCAGCAGGTGTGAAGAGACGCCGTTCACACCCAAACCGGTGAGCACGGACAGCGTCGACGTCTTGCCGGCGCCGTTGTGTCCGAGCAAGCAGGAGATCTGCCTATTAGTTATCAACTCGCTTGTAATCAACTATTCATTCGTTGTGGCCGAGCAGGCAGGAGATCTGCCCCGGGTAAAAGGAGAGGTGCAGGTTGTCGACGGCAACCTTGCGCATCTTGCCTCGGCCGTAAACCTTCGTCAGGCCGACGATCTCGACCGAATCTCCCCCCGCCGCCAGGGAGGGAGGGACCGGCTCAAAGGCGGCGCCCTCCTGCGGGAGAGCCACCTCTGCGCGCGGCGATTGCAAGGACGGGCACCAAAAGGCGCGGCGCAGGAAGAAGAGCGGGTGGAGGGGTGCGCCGAAGCGAGAGGGGAGGACACGCTCGAGGTAGAGGGCGAGGGCCTAATTAATTGATGCTTCATGCTTCCTTATGAACTGGAGAGGGGAGGACACGGTCGAGAGGGCGAGGGCCTAATTAATTAGGTATTCATGATTCATTATGAAGTAGAGAGGGGAGGACACGCTCGAGGGGCGAGGGCCGTGTACAGCAGCGAGTCGAGCAGCAGCATCCAGAGCGAGAGAGCGAAGGAGTAGGGCGAGTCGGACCAGTTCTCGGGGCTCACGCCGACAGACGCGTACTCGTACTCGCCGAGCACGTCCGCGCCAAAGGCAAAGGCGGTGGGCGCCGCGAGCGAGGCCGCGATCTTGGCGCCCGTCTGCTCGAAGCGGTTGGTGCCTGAAGAGGTTGCCGAGCTCGTGATGGGCCGCGGCTCATGACGGGGGGGGGCGGGTGGGCGGGGCCTCGTGCCGCACATCAATATCTCCCCATATCTCCCCACATCTCCCCACATCTCGTGCCTGTGAAGAGGTACTTGGGCAGGACGAGGGCGAAGAAGGCGACCGGGCAGGCGGCGGCGGCGAGGACGGCGTTGGAGAAGCAGGCGGCGACGAGGAAGGAGAAGGCGACGCAGGTGAGGCAGAAGAGGGAGAGGTAAAGGAGCAGCACCCAGAAGGGCGTGTGCGGGAGGAAGAGGGAGCAGACGAGAGCGCAGAGCAGCGCGTTTGCTCCGAACTGGACGAGCGCAGTCGCATACCTGTCGGCGGCGGAGAGAGGGGGAGATAGGGGGAGAGATGGGGAGATATGGGGAGACATGGGGAGATATGGGGAGCCGCGAGGCGTGAGGGTTGACTCGTGAGCAAGGCTCGGGGGAGGCGACGCGCACCACGATCCGACATGCACGCCGTGCCGCAGGCCCATGATGCGCCTGTTAATTAATACTTCATTCTTAATTAACAGCCGACATGCACGCCGCGCCGCATGCCCATGATGCGCATGGTCTGCGCGAGGCGCGTCTCCTTCTCCTCGACCACGGACTTGGTGAGCAGCGCGGCGGGGAAGAGCTGGCAGAGGGTGAGGAGGAGGGGCAGCAGCGACTGGACGGCGAGGTAGAACGGGTTCTGCGAGTAGGCGGCGGTGGGGAAGGGCGCCAGCCACGCCACGTCCGCGGGAGGAGGGAGGGGCTCGGCGCCGTGGCGGGCGGCGAGGCCAAACGCAAAGCCGTCGACGGCGCGCTGCAGCGTGAGGAAGCCGGAGGTGACGTACCTCTGGTACTCGGTGTCGAGGCCTAATTGATTAATTAATGATTGATTATTAATTCAAGCAGGTGACGTCCCTCTGGTACTCGGTGTCGAGGCCTGTTAGTTAGCAATTAATCAATTAATTAAATAAATAAACAATCATGTCCCTCGTGTACTCGGTGTCGAGGCCCCGCGTGAGCCGCTTCGAGATGCGGTTCGTGTTGGGCACCGTGGTGTAGTTGAGCCGGACAGCGTACTCTACCTGCCTCGGCGCCAGCGAGTCGAACACGAGCAGCGCCCACGCGTCCCGCGCCGCGTCGGCTGCGCCTCCGAGGTGCGCCAGCGCCGCCGCCTCGTCTGCATGCACGCGCGTGCTGACGTTCCCGCCGCCCGCCTGCAGGTGCGCCTCCAGCTCGTCGATCCGCTGGGCGAGGGAGACGCCTACGATAATCAATGATTAATTCATAATTAATTAGAGGTCGGCCTCCAGCTCGTCGATCCGCTGGGCGAGGGAGACGCCGTCGGTGAGGGAGGATGCGGCGGCGGCGGAGGAGGGGGCGAGGTGCAGCGTCCCGAGGGTGAGGAGGTTGCCGAAGAGGCGCGCGAACTTGTCCAGCTCCGTGAGCTGCTCGTAGTTGGAGGCCGAGAGCGCCGAGCGTGCGGCTGACGACACCCCGGCGTAGCTCGGCAGTCCAAAGACGGGAAGCGGCCCTGTCAGCAGCGGCTCGAGGTTGCGCCGTACTGAGAGGAGGTCGAGGTCGGTCGAGTTGCCAGAGCTCTCCCAGACGAGGCCGCCGGGGCCAAAGCCGCCGCCGCCGCCTGCGCCAGGCCCAGAGGCAAACTCGACCGCGAGGCTGAGCAGAGGGCCGACGTCGAGCGCGATGACGGCGTAGATTGCGGCGTCGAAGGTTTCCGGATCGGTGAGGTGGTAGCCGACCACGCAGATGGATATGAAGAGCGCCGGACTGACCAAGGCGCAGCACGTGGCGCGAGGCGTGCGCCACTTGACAAGCGCCTGTTGCCAGAGCGTCGCTCGCAGCTGGTCGCGCACGCGTGCTCGGCGCGGAGCAGCGAGGCAAGCGTCGCCGCGGTACTCTGTCGCACCGCCGGGGCTGCTGGCCATGATCAGGGCTCTCACGAGGCACGGGAGAGACGGGAGGGAAAGGGGGCTAGATTCTACAGTGTCAGGGTCGGCCGGTCCAGCACCAACGAGAAGGCCAGCGGATTTTTCTTTTTTCTTTGTACACTTTTTCTTCAACGCCTCGGCCCTCCGCGCCCCCACACCGTTAAGACAAGAGTTTTGCGGTTTTTTCTTCAGCCTTGGCGAATAGCCAGCCCAGCACGGTCCGCAACCGGCTCGCCGCGTCGATGCGCCTATGCTACGTCGGATCGACGAGCAACGAGTCCTCCACGATCCTCTTTCACTTCACAGTCAGCTTCTCGGCCTCCGATCAGCCGCGGCTGACCTTTGCCGCCCGCTACAGCACCCTCCGGAGCGTCTACCGTGAGGTGAGGCTCGACGCGAGTTGCCGGGCCTCGTTTCCGCCCTTCCCGCCAAAGAGCAACCTCTCTCGCCAGACCAAGAAATTCCTGGACCGGCGCGGCAACGCGCTGGCAGCGTGGCTCGAGGTCCTGTTTTCGGACCACAGCCTCGCAGCGCTCGGCGCTGATCTGCTGGCCAGTGCGACCGCAGCGCCCGTCGCCGCCGAAGCGTCGCCGGTCTGCTTCCCGCGCTCGCCGGCCCGGCAGGCCTCGGCGGTCGCCGGCGGAGACGGTCTCAGCAGCGGCGGCGGCGGCGGTGGCGGCGGCGGTGGTGGTGGTGGCGGTGGCGGCGGCGGTGCCTCCAGCAGGCGGGCCTCGGCGGCGGAGGATGGACCGGGGGAGAGAACAGTCGGAGAGCCTCGCTGCTCGCCCCCTGGAGGGTCGGAGCCTGCTCGCACGCGGCCGCCGCCGCTCCCTCCTCCCGGCGCCGACGCTGCTGATGAAGAAGCTGCGGCGGCTGCCACGACTGCTGTCGCTGCCGCTGTTGCGGAGGGGGGGGGCTCGGTCTGGGCCTCGCGGCCCCTGCTCGCCCTCGCTGTCTCTGTGGCGGTCGGGCTGGCGCGAGGCCACCTGCCGCTCGCCGTCGCCTGCTACGCCGCCGGCATGGGTCTGGCGGCCGCGCTGGCTGCACCGCGCCGGGAAGGTTCCGAGACGCTTCCTGCGGAAGGGCGGGAAGAGGGCGAGGCGCTCGCCGCGGCGACGGCGAAGGCATCGGCGGAAGAGGCGGAGGTGCGGGCGCCGAAGCTCGTACGGACGGCGGCGGCGGCGGCGGAGGCGGCGGTGGAGGCGGCGGAGGCGGAGGCGGGGGCGGAGGCGGAGGCGGAGGTAGCGGATGCAGAGGAGGGGGGGGAGGCGGAGGCGGAGGCGGAGGCGGAGGCGGAGGCGGCGGGGGACCCGTGCGTGCGTGCGGCGGTTGCGACAGCGCTCGAGGCGCGCCAGCTGCTGCAGTGGCACGGCAGACGCATAAGTACGTGACTCACCCGCCGCGGTTGAATTGACTCTCGAGGCGCGCGGGCCGCCGGAGAGAGAAGCTGGGCAGTTCACAAGAGTCAAGCTTTGTTTGACTCTCGAGGCGCACCGGGTGCTGGAGGAGCACGTGGCGGCGTGCGACGGCGAGGAGGGCCGCCGCTGCCTCGGCCTTGGCGAAGAGTGGCGGTCCTTATCCGAGAGGGCGCGAGAGGGCCCGAGATTGCACGAGAGCGGCCGAGATTGCGCGAGATCGCACCCGACGTGGTGTGGAGAGGTGGCTGTGAACGGCGCCTCCTCACGGCCACCAGCGCTGTCTTCACAGCCCACGCTTCGGTGCAGGCGGTCCCACCCGACGCGGCAGGGAGTCGACGTGCGCACGACAGACGCATTCTGCGGCCAGGCGCAGCGCTGCGTCTCTCGAGATCGCGGCTGCCTCTCGGCCGCACCTCGGCCGCACCTCGGCTGCACCTCGGCTGCACCTCGGCTGCCTCTCGGCGGTCCTGCGGCCAGGCTGGCGTCAACGGCGCCATCGGAGTCGGAGATGCGGCGGCGTCGTCAGAGGCGATGCCGAGAGATAGCCGAGATCTAGCCGAGATAGTCGGAGATGCGCGCCGGTTTCCTCCGAGGCCATGCTGCGGCTGCGGAGGCCGTCATTCAATCTCGCGGCGTGTGCACAGGCGGTCTGCGCGGTGCTGGCCGACCCCGACAAGCGCCGCTTGACGGACCCTCTCTGGCAGAGCACGGAGGCGCGTGGGTAGCACACTCAGCCGTGAGGAGGAGTTGCAAGTGGCACACTCTCACCCGACCGCTTGGACAACGGAGGTGGTGCGGTCGCTGCCGTCGCGACTGGTCCGCATCGAAGGCGGGTGGGCTCTCGCGGCTCTTCCTCTGACCAGCGCGCCAGTCCTCACCTCTCTCACGGGAGGAGGTAGGCTGGCGGACACTCGAGTTCGGCATCGTCACGGAGCGCTTCAAGGCGCCGTGTCGCCGCCGCCCTCTCCGCGCGACGCGCTCGTCAACGAACCCACTCTCTCCCCGGACTCACAGGCGCCCGCCGTCGTCGTCTCTCCTCGAGACTCGCTCGTGGTGCGCGTCCGCCTCAAGTCCGTCGACGGCACGCGCGTGCGCCTGGTGCCTGCGTCTTGCGGGGGCGGGGAGGGCCCGCCTCGCCCGTGGCTGGTCCTCCGTTCACGGGCGCTTCACTGTGAACAGGTGCAGCGGTCGGTGGACGCGCCTGCTCTCGCCGTGCCGCGGGGCTACGTGCGGCTCCGGCTCGCGTGCGGAGGGTACCAGATACGCGCCGTGGCGCCCGACCGCTGCACCACCGTCTACGTGCGCCCCCCCCCCCCCCCCGGAGAATCGACCTCAGCGGCGTCACAGCGATTCACATT